TGCTATATAATATTCTATCTAAATATATATAAAACTAATATATAATAATATAATAAATATATCCAATATTTTAACTACTGTCAACTATGGATATAACAGATACCCTTACACCGGATTCATGAGTTTAACGGATTAAATTCAAAGTACCGAATTTTTAATAGTAATTTAAAATGGATATAACGGATTTAATAACAAAAAATCTATATTACGTATAACGGAACTTCTTGCCAGCCCACTTTCTAATTTTATTAAGGTTTATTTATTTATATAACAGTTCCACAGATATATCTGACGATCAGCCAATCAAACTGCAGGTCATTTTCATGTGATTAAGCAAAAAAAGTGGTCACACGAACACATAGCACTTATAAAAGGGTGCCCTAATTTCTCCCACCAGTTAGACTATACTCTTCATATACCAATCAAATCATAAGATCAGGTGTAACAAAAAAAGTCAAAGTTTTTCAAAAATCGCCAATAGCTTAAAATTTGCTTACAAAACTGCCTTTCATGTTCTAACATAAAAAATTCCTTGCAAAATTTTAGTATAGTACACAGTCTATTAGACCTTTATACTGATTTAACAATGCTTCTGTTATTTGATTAAATAAAAATTTCTAAGTCAATTTTGTCTAAGATTTCTTTTCGTCCAATAGGAACTGGTGGGGAAAATTAGTAAATCCCTTATAAAAGATAGGAATTTGTCTTCGCAGATTTTTAAGTGCCGCTAATATTTTTTTTTTTAATTTTTTTTTTTTTATAAGCAAAAAAAAAAAAAAACTTTGCTAAAAGTTCTTTATTACGATAGTGTAATATAAGCCTTTATAAAAATGAATGTATTATGATCACTTGCGTTAGCATCTAAATCACTTATTTACAGACACTCTGATATTCGAAAATAACCATTCTATCTATTTTTCACACTTCAACCTATTTTATAAAAAAACAAAAAAAAAAATTAAAAAAAAAATAAAAAAAAAAAATTAAAAAAAAAAAAACTTATCAAATGAACTTCCAAGGTTCAATTTTGAGCAGGACCATTGGCTCTGGAGTTTGCAACTCCAACGGCTCGATTGAACTTCTGGATGTTTAAAAAAAAAAATTTTAAATAAAAAAAAATAATAATAAAAAGTTTATCAAATGAACGAACATCTAAGGTTTAATCTTGAGCAGGACCATCGGCTCTAGAGTTACAACTCTAACGGCTCGATTGAACTTTCAGATTTTTTTTTTAATTATCTGTTAATGAAGTTGCAGGTACATACGTACAAATTTTATACAGGGGTAATTTTTTTTTTCTTTTTTAAGAAAAAAAATTTCAGATTTTTAACACAACGCGTTTCATCTAACTGCACAATAAAATGATAACTAAAACTAAAGCACCTGTTAAAAGAAAGCATCTCATGGCTGAAGAAAAGAAGGAAATTTGTGAAAAAAAGCGAAAGTTTCCATCTATCCTGAACAATGAACTTGCCGAAGATTATGGCGTCAAAAGGACATGCATATCTGATATTCTCAAACAATCTTCTAAATGGTTAAGTGTTAATACAACTAACAAAGCTGAAGCAACCCGTAAACGTGATCGTCAACCAAAGTGGCCCAAGTTGGATGAAGCCATGCATATCTGGGTAGAAAGCGCTCTCATAGCAAATATGGATTTAAATCAAGAAGCCCTAATTATCAAAGCCAAAACCTTCGCCACAGCCCTAAACATTACTAATTTTAAAAGTACTGGTTGGGTTAATGGTTTTCAAGAACGATTTGGTCTCAGTCAGTATAATAGAAATGGCGAGGCCCTAAGTTCCCCACCAGTTGAATCCCTGAATGAACACAGAGAGCGTTTTCAAGCAATATGTGAAGAGTATACACTTAACAATATTTGGAATGCAGATGAAACGTCCCTTTATTAGAGGATGCGCCCATCAAAAAACCCTTGTACGTGATCCTGTTTCTGGTTATAAAAAGGATAAGACATGAGCGACCGTGATGCTTGCAACAAATGCAACCAGAACAGAAAAGCTCCCCCCTGTGTTTATTCATATCAATGAAAATCTACGCGCCTTTCAAAATTTGAATAAAAAAAATTTACTAGTCTGGTATTATTGGAACGAAACTGCATGGATGCAGGTCTTCACGTATAATAACTGGTTAGAACGTGTTGACAAAACAATGAGGCTCCAAAATCGCCATATTCTTCTTTTTGTAGACTATTGTACTACCCATATTCGGGATGTTGAACTTACTAATATTCGTATTGAAAAGATACTAAAAAATACAACTGCCCACCTTCAGCCGTGTGATGCCGGCATAATCCATTTATTTAAATGCCATTATAAAAGCATTTTTGTAAAAAATTGGCTTGATGCATTCGATAAAATGAAGGCTACGGGTTCTCCTTCACTCGATGGATTTAGTGTTCTCAATGCAATTAATGCTACCTCAGATGCGTGGAGCAAAGTTACTCAGGAAACAATTATGAATGCTTGGCTAAAAACAGGTATTCTTCCTCAATACTGAGCGATAGAAAGGGATCAGGCATGTCAGCAGTTAGAGCTAGAATTAAAAAATGAATTTGATGAACTTGATAATCTAATAACTAATTTGGCAGTAGTAGTGAAATCGATGATCCTATAGTTGTGAGAGAATTTGTAGATATCGACACCGATGTTGCTTTTGAGATGCCATCTGACGATGACATAATCCGTAATATTAGGAATAAGGATGACCATTCCACTGAAGAAGAAATATTAGAACCAGCACCTAAAATTACGGATCACGATGCTTTGAAAGCTTTGGATTTAATTGAAATGTATCTTTTACAACAACCCAATGATTTTATAGCTACTGATAATGATAGAAATACTGTTCGTAGATTGAAAAAGGAGGTTTCACGATTCTCTGCTCTTCAAAAAAAGCAGGTTAACATTACTGAATTTTTTTGTAATGAGAACTAAATAATTTGTTTTTTTTTGTCTTTTTTTTTTGGTTCTTTTTTTTTTTTTTGGTTCTCTTTTTTTTTTAAAAAAAATATGTCTTAAGAATTACTCTAGCGCTTATGTTTAATCCTCACAGCTTTTAACAAAAAACTTGGAAATTTTTTTTTGATGTGATAAAAAAATAGATGCAGGCTTTTTTTGCTTTATTAATAATCGTTTAATATATCAACCTTGAACATTAAATTTGGCATAAGATAAAGTTTTGTTTATCAGTTGTGATGATTTATAAATGAAAGAAGTAATAATTTAGGATTATGTTATTAATTGGAGAATTGCTCAAAATCCAAAGGTATGTACTCAAAAAACTGCTTATCTCTTATTAAAAATGATATAAAGTAGAATTTATTTCTTTATGTAGTGCATTACCAATGTTTTTTTTTATTTCGAACTACAGTATGAACCTTTTCAAGTGTTATTAATGAAGCACATGCAATTGAAATCGCTTCATGGATTGATAGAAGAGCCATATTTAAGGTAATGCAAAATTGATTTTTTGTTTTGTATAATCCGATCGAGTACTTGAAAAATGTGTACCGGGTTTGCTCCTGAACTACGAATCAGATTTCAAGATTAGGTGTAATGTAACACGATTAGGAAAATTCAAAACGTATGTTCTCTCTGCCAAAAATCGCTTATGACTCAAAAATCAGCATAAAAACCACCTTTTGAGCTCTAATGAAAGGTTTTCATTGGACAATTTACTATTACACTACTTGCCTCTAGCTTCTAATCCTAATCCTAATCCTAACCCTAACCTTAACAAATTTTAAAGAATTCTGTCTGCATCACAAACCCAGTACACATTGTCTGAGAGCCCAGATCAACTCACTTTTCAATTTTTTAAAAAATTTCAATTGTGTTAATTGGTTTATTTTTACCATTTATTTTTTCTGCTGTTTTATCTAGTATCACCCAATAAAGCCAGGATTATCAGCAGAAAAAAAATCTGACCAACCAACCCAAGTTTCAGATCCATTTATGCAAAATAAAAAATGAACTTCGCATGATCTAATTAAAGAATTGTTGGATCAATTGTGTAGTTATCAGAGTTAAAGGCGCTGATGGAATTGTCAGCATCCTATTTGTTAGAAAATTTTAAGTTGTTTAAGCAGAAAGTGCATTAGATGTTAATAAAGGCTCACCGAAATATTTGATCATAGTTTATATGAAGTAGGTAACATTTTAATGGAATCAATTTTACAAGTCCTCCGAAACAATGGAAATGACTCAATATCGATTTGATGTCACGAACTGAAGCTTTATAAAATTATGCATTTATTGAAAATTTAAAAACGGTAACTTTTTTTTTTGCATAGTGCTACGATTTAATGATTGAAATTGGATGATAAAAGAGTATACATGAGTTTCTATAGAGTTAAAAAATCTGAATTTTTATTTTAATCCGATCTTATTATTTGACAATAACTATTCCCACATGGATAAAAAATAAATATGTGGGTTAATTAGAAGACATATATATGTGGGAACAGGAGGAACCATTAACATTACACCAAGTAAGAGATTATATCCATCACACTTGAAGTTACATATAAATAATTTCAGTTTAGCTGATCACCTGTGTGCGAGGGATTATATTCATAACATACATTTTAGAGTAAGCACAAAATAAATAATTTTATTATTGACTGACTACATCATATGAAGGATTAACGTGTAATATTGACGGTTCCTCCTGTCATATGCGGGTTAATTGGATAATGTATATGTATGCGTGTTGATTATTTTATATATAAATATTTATATAATGGAATCTAACCTAATACCGTTATATAGATATAATGAATATGCTATATAACGGAATTTTTTTGTTAGCCCAGATTTCTATTATATCCATAGTTGACAGTAAATAAAAATGCAAATATTTTGAATAATAATAACTAAAAATAACTAAATAATGTTTAATAAAATCTATA